TATCTCGTCTTCCTTTTCCACAAATTTCGCCTTCTCCTCTAATTTGTATCATTTAATCTTCCAGGTTATGCTACTTTTTTTTTTTTGGTTCCAATTAAGTTGGCAACATTAATTTTTCAACACAATCCTTTCTTTATCTTCTACATTTGCCTCTTTTTTTCCCTTCCTAAAATTTTTTGCTCAATGACGTGTCACATGAAAAATCTCATATTTCACCTTCCATTTTTAAAGACTTTAAACTTGAGAAAATAAAAATAAAAACCGTAATTCATCGAATTCTTATTTCTGCCACTTAAGGCAATACATATTGAATCAAAATGTGCCAATTTCAGAATACCAATTGAATTCACCAGAATTTTTTTCATTTATTTTAACAAAAATGATAAATGGACAAGTTATGTTTGTTGATGATCAAGAGGTTAATGATCCTACAACTGATACGATGCCCAAATCGGTGCATTTCAATGAATCCTGCGAAAACTACCGTTGCTTTTGTAATTGTTTCCATATAAAAACTGGTGCTCTTATCGTTGCTGGTACTTTTTTTTTTCTCAAATTATAACAATTCAATTTGAAGAAATGATTTAAAATATTGAATTGAAATAAATTCAAAATAATTTAAATATGAAAGTGGTTAAATAAGAAAAGGAAAACCGATGAAGTAGCAAATGTAATAAGCTTAAAAAAATTGTTTCATGTCTTTTTTTTGAAATTAATCTTCCAACAAATGCTAATAATATGGTAAATGAAGATGCATCAATGTGTAAATTCTATTTCTTCAAACTTGCGATACTTTGATTATTACAAATTCTAAAATTATTTAACCCTTTGAACCTGAATGTTATCGTAATATGATGTAATTACATAATTTACTTTAAAAAATAACGTATAAAAAAAGAAAAAAGAAAACAAGCAAGCAGTCTTAGCAGAAGAGATTTGTAATATTTTCAAGAGAAAAAATATGGCAAAGTTTATATGGCCAAAAAATGCCTGCACAATTAGAAAAATATTTTGCATTTCATACCTCACACTCCAAATATGTAATAATTGAAGTACTTAAAATTTATCAGGATATTTCAGGTACAGAGCTTTTAATGATACTAATATTTCTTATTAACTCGCTACTGATAATTGTGGAGCATGACACGGAATATGAGAAAATCACAGGTAAACTGCTTTTTCTTAAATTATCTCCAAGTTCTTATTTTAAATTCATTTTTGCTGATTGCAATGAAGATATTAATTACAGGTACATGCGATAGTTATGTGATGCAATCATTTTCCGTATCCATGATAGGTATTGGTCTTAGTTTTTTAGCAGTCGTTTTACTTTTTGTGGGACTAATTCGCAATATTGCTGCATTTCTAATACCTCATCTTATCGTACAGGTAAGCTTTTTCTCTTTAATAGTTTAAAAGGAAAAAATTTGCTCAAAATGTCTTTTTTTTCAATTCTTATTTGAGAAATTTGAGAAATCTTATTCGAAGTTAGTTTTAAGAAATTCGGATTAGCATTAATATTTATAGACAAAATAGCATCATTTTGCCCACAAATAACATCATTTTGTCGTGATCGAATATTTTATTTTTAGATAATTGTAGTATTAATACTTGCATTTGGCTTATCATGTGGCATCATTGCATTTTCCACTAACACAACGATATTTTATCGATTGATGAATGCGGCATCATTTAAGGAGCATCCCGGTACTTCTACTGTTGCATTGGATGCTCAAACTACCGCACGATTTATCACTATTTTCATCCTTTACCTTATTTGTCTTATATTACAGGTGATCAAATACAGGAATTATTTCGCACTGATTTATTCCGTTTCATTTGAGAGATAATTTATTATAGAAAAGAGAAAAGGTAGAAAACTGATTTAAAATGGATAACTTCAATAAGATCTGAGATTAAAATTTTTCGTTAGGTTTGCAATATATATATATATATATGGTATAAAAATATGTGAATTTTGCTATGTACTGCTGAAGAATTCTCAACATTCAGTAAGTAACGAAAATTCATTTTCTCCCAATTTATTGAAGAATTATTGAAGTTTAAAAATTTTCAGTGCTGGTATGTAATGATCATTCACAACTGCTATCGTTACTTGAAAGAACGATGCCGATACATGCATTATTGTCTTGCATTCAGCACACCGATGCAAACACTCATCTATCGATGATAACTATTATAATGATAACACTGATGTATAGAATAAAAGTGTATAGTACAAGTAAGGAACAAGATTGAATGGACAGGTTATTGGGAATAGTTCCAAAGATCCGAACAATCCAAAAGGCAAATTTGACACCAATAATTTGGAAGGACCCGCTCCTCTTACCACTATCACACATAACATCTTTACATTAAAGCTCAGTTATTCACCTGATTTGATTAACTGTCGGAATTATTGAAAAGCGCATTAAAGCTATTGTTCATAAAACTTCAATAATTCGACCATTTCTTCTTCTGTTACTTATGATCTATTACCCCAGTCGTGCAATATATTGTTGGAACGCATTCCAGTCTTGTAATTTTCCTACATGCGTTCTAAATTGTCGAAACAAATATTATCCAATTGCACCAGACTACGTTTACACACATGCATGAAATCGTCTTATATTAGTTTACATATGAGCCTTAGTGGATCAAGCGATTAGCAAAGTTCTGAAAGCAATAAACCACTAAGTCAGTTTTCGTTGTTTTGAAATTTCCAAAACCAAATTATATTATTTGGGATGAATTTGCATAATCGGAAATTTCGTTACTTTTGGTGATAAAATTGCCAATTTTTAAGAGACAAAAATAATGATGAAAATAAAAATTAATAGATGCTTGTAATCACCAATCGCCTGATCGGTTATTCATCTCGCTAATGAATTATATACAAAAAGTCAAAGCATAAGAATAATATTATATCGCCATTAATAACTTTTTTCCCCCAAGAATTGACGTATAACACTTATGACAAAGTTTCGCTACAAGGGCAGAGTAATTACAGCCGACTCCTCCGAAAACAAATATATTAATTTAGAAATACAAAGCTCAGTGGGATTTTGTCAGTATCAGATGAAGGTAATGATGAGTATTGAAATATATCGGTTGACGATATTTATAAAGAAAAAAACTCTAGTTTGATTTTACAAGTGAATAAAGTGAACCAGACACAAATTCAGTGTGGCTCTCGAAATTATTAAGAAATCGAGACAAAAAAAATTCCTGAAGCAATTTGAAACTCACTTTAACAAAACTGCTGAAGAACTGGGAAAGCATTTAACTGAAGTTAGTTGAATTCCCGAGCTTAATAAACTTAGAACCAATGAAAAGTGAGTTCATTCTTCATATGCCAACGACCTTTCACATGTTTTTCTGAACAATACGACTATGCGTTGATACCATCATATGACACTTATGGGTACTGATAAATAAGGGAGTGATTAGAAATATGCTGGCATACAAAATATTATTGAAACTATCGTTAAACAACTAACACTATGAAACGAAAACAATATGCAACAAAAAAAACGAGCTTCCTGAAAAGATTACGATATCACTAGCTTGGAAATTTACGAAGCAAAGAACGGTAAGACAAAAAAAAGTTCACAGAAAATCTTAACGCACTGGTTCGAATCGTTTCGATGATCACTATTAACAATCGTTATTTAATTTCAATCACCAGTTGTTACACCCCGGAACATTTGTCCCATCGACTCGTTGTGATAGATACGCCTGATTGCTTCGCATAACACCGATGATATGTCAACTGTTTTAATTTTATGACAGCGCAGCTTCTGCACATCATGAGGTACTGTGTTTGTCACAATCACCTGAATTGTATTAAAGGAAAACTGAATATTGGAACGTAGCGGATAAATTAAATGAACAAAGATAAGCAACAGAATTACACCTCCATATTTTGCACACTATGTCTACATAAAACATTCATTACGTTATGTAATTTATGTTAAAATATTAAATAAGTCAAATAGTATACATATACTACCACGTAAATGGTTTCCTTAATCATCGCTCATCAGCAGTGCTTCTTCGTTTACAACTGCTAATAAGCTAATATCTTTTTAAGACCTGGTTAACCACCTGGCTAAGTCATTTTATACAGTAGCCTATTGTCCAGCGTTTAAATTAGTCCTGTTGCCATAATTGCAGGATTATTAGAAAACCAATAAAGATACACTGTGGGTGTTTTCTATTTGGATTTTGATGGGATTCTGAGAAAAGATAGGAAACCACTGAATTTTATTCTAAATTCAGCATCCTAGCTAATTTTATATCAGCGGTATGATAAAAAAACGATGACAACTCCAAGTTCGGTAGCACAACTTACCTCGGTAATGGGTGAAGATTCAAGAAGATCAGGAGCATCTGCTGACAATAACCCATGCGTTGCTATGACGTAAATTTTATAAGCACCATGATTTTTCAGCACCTGAGCGACAGCAACAAAAGATTGCGCATCATCGATTATATCATCCTATAAATGAACATGAAAACTGACTGGAAAGCATTCACATTACACTGTCTTATCGGAATTGAAATCCTTTTACGAGTCAACGATTACGATTTGCTGTGAAAGAAGAAATACTCAAATCGACAAATACTTACCACCATAATCGCTATACGTCCACCTACATCACCAACAACTGTTAACGGAGGTTTTTCTTTTGCAACTTGAGCTAAAAATTTATTACGATAAGCTAGAAATATTGGTCATTCTGATCAAAGCTTGGAACGAAATATTACGAAGGAGCTGTAAAAGTTATATTTCAGCAACAAAGAATATTTTAAACTGTAAAGTTTGGTACTAAACGACGAAATGATTGCCAGCTTAAAAATTTTAATCAATATCATTTCTCGTCACGAAGCGTTACCTGGAAACAACTCGAAGGCAGTAAGATTTTCGTTTGGCTTGCCATCCAGTGGAGGACTTTGCCGACCATCTTCTAAACCACTTTCTTCAACATCTTTCTGTTCACCGTGTATAACCGCAACACCTGAAATTTTATTCGGAATTGGAGAGAACAGACTGAAATTTCTCACAGACAAACGGCAGATAAATTTCTCACAGGCAAACGGCAGATCTTTTAATCCATTTTTTTGCCAAGTTTTTTAAAATGACATAAAAAAATGCTGGTGAAAACATCTAAGATCTCAAGTGATATATATCGACTTTCAAAAATAAACAATCTCCATGATGTGCTTTTTTGAAATGTTATCATATATAAACCGATACAATAAAACAAAGATACAAAGAAAACACATTAATCAATATAATAGTCGGAAATTTCAGAAGTAATCCGGTAATAATAGCTAAAAGTGATCACTGTAACAGACGAAATCAATAGTTACGTGTTGGAAATAATCTATCGAAAGCAAAAAAAAATTTCAGTCAGTCAGTCTTTCCAGAAGTTACAGAAACTGTGAGAATGGAAACTGCACAAGACGTACACAAACTTATCGTGCAAGATCAAAATATATAAGCACAAGTGATTAAGGCAAGCTTTGCTCAATAGCACAATAGAGTTTTGGTGCAATAAGTGAAACCATAAAAATCTAAACCATATAAATCTTCTCTACTTTTTCAAAAATTATGATGATAATATTGTACTAAGTCTATTTGTAAGCGTTTTGAAAAATGATCGGCCTCAAGTAAATACTAATCAGTGCATGTCCAGCCGCTGATTACGAATGACTTCAATGTGATCATGAATCAGCCTTAACCTCTGAACTTCGATCTTCATATTTCTTCAAATTTCACTTATATGGTTTTTTTGAAAGTGATATCTTTCAATATTCTTTCAAAATTAGGTTAGTTGTCTTTTGTCGATGGTAGTTATAAGATTTTAATTTGATATGTAAGCCTAACAACCTCTATTAGTGATAATACTACCGCTTTGATTCTACTTTGAAGGAAGGATTAGCAGAACATTTCAAATCCGCCTAAATTAGTCATATTTCTATATTTCATCTATGATATCGTGAATTTTTACCAATTTGTTTCAATCCACTACACAACAATCACACAAACCTGGTGCTTCTGTAGACCAAAGCGTGGAGAATGTCTCCATAGTTAATAATCGAGAATATTGATATTTGCATTAACTCTCTCACCTGAGCTTCTCGGTACAATAATACATGTTATTAGAACTCGGGAAGAAGAGATACTAAAGTTGAGAACAAAGCCCACAACCATACGCTTCAGATTTCTACACATCTTTTGTTAAGCAATGATTCACTGAGATATGAACTTCCTACAGTTTTCTAAGTCGTACGAAATGATGGAAAATTTCAACTTTTAAAATCAGAACTGGTTTTGGGATGATTGCTGACCGAAACGATTAAGCTAAACTGCTAAAAATGGGAAAACATGACATAAAATGTATCTTGCACTCAATTCATGAAAAGTTCAAAGCTCCCAAAAAGGCTTCCTTTTCTTCCCAATGCTTCCTTCTAAAAAGTGAATTAAATATTTGTCAGCAAAGTTTGAAAAACGCCGAACTACTGAATTAATCACTACAGGAAAATCACATATATTAATTGCAAAGCATTTAGCGCCTGAAGTAGCTAAACAGCTTGGATGGATTAGATGTACACGCCATCTATGCAATTGACAATGATCGCATTGCCGATCTAACTACTCGCAAACCTTACCAATGGATCGTTTCATCTCACCGACGACTTATCCATCTTTTGCTTCAAATTTCTAATCTACTGAAATAAAAGTGACGACCAAATAATATCATATATTTACCTAATCTTAAACGATCCGCGTAAGATGTTGCTTTATTCATAACTCCTGGATTCTTTGCAACTATCACAGCATTTTTATAGTCCGGTATCTAAATTTTTCGATTGTGAAGAATGGAACAATGAAATGGTGCCTAAATTCAGCAATATGGCACTGTGTTAATAGTAAATATAATTCTTTTTTAATACGAGAAAAAGTCTTAAAAAAAACCAAACCGAACATTTTCTTTAATGTATTGTAGCAAAAAAGGCGAAGCACGCAGGTTATCAACAGGCACTGAAAAGAATCCTTGGATTTCCTTCCTGTACAAATCGAGAGAAACTATTCGTGTCGCTCCTGCAATCTCTTTTTCTCATCATTAAACAAATATTTTTAACATTTGTATTTTACGTATTAACCAAGTTTAGTGATATCTGTAAATTATGAACGAACCATTTTTTAAGATAAGAAGGAAAACGAAAGGGAAATAGGATAATTACCGGAATTGCACATCATATCAGCGATAAGTTTCATTGGTATGGACGACCGGCGTAACATTCGACACTGCTTGCTGTAAGGTAGATATGGCAACACTACTGTTATCGTTTTTGCCATTGAAGTTTTACATGCATATATTAATATCATAAGTTCCATGATGTTATTATTCACGTCTCTGAAATTCCATTAATTAGTTCGGAAAAAAAGTAACTGTCAATAGGTTAACTAACGAATGAATTAAGCGGAACAGCTCCATGGCTTGAAAGATATTAAACATTATAAAAGATACCAAACGTTATGAAAAATATCTCAGATCAATAACACATTGATCAAAAATAGTGAAATCTTATAAAATTTTCACTAAAACTGCTTAAAAATTGAGGATTTTTTTTTTTTGAAAAATATAAAACTTATGTCATTATCATTAGGAAGTGACCGGACAGTTATTTTTCTTGATTTTAATCAGATACGTTCCTCCAATTTCCATAAGCAAATGAAATATGCTAGTTTAATTCCATGAAAGTAAGCGAATTATTAACTTACTTTGAACCGGACTGGAGAATGAACACATGTTTCCCACGAACACTCTGCTTGATTTCAACAGAAGTTTCACGATTTGTTCTATTGTAAACAACCGCCTCTCCAAGCTTAATTCCCAAGCGCCTATAAAACTATTTGTATTTGACGTTAAATCAATCCAATCTTTAAAACACAAGAGAAAAATTCATACCGGAACAACTTACTCTGCAACTAGTCTTGCTAGCTCCAGATGGGAATTCCCGGCTAGCAATACCATGCCACTACTTTGGTCAGTAAAATATTGGACCGACATTTCTCGCAAATCTGAAGAGAACGAATAGGATTTAGAAGTAAATGCTGGTAAATTCATCATTTTTGATGTATCAGATTAACAGTGGGGAAGCGAAAGATGAACACTCAGCCGTAAATCATGCTGTATTGATCCAAAATTCAGCAATGATACTTCAAAACTTTGTTCGGAACTTCTGGCATGAAGTACGGGAAGTAGCATATTGCAATGATGGATTTAGTTTCCCTACCCCCCCCCCCTTTTTTTTTCTCTTACTTTGATTGTTTCCCACCCTTTTTGCTAACTTGAAAATACTGCACTCGAATCATGTGGACCGTGAAAAAGCAACTAGTAGCACTAAAAACAATTTCAAGATGTCAACGCTTCCGAAGAGCAAAACTAAAGATTCAATAGCATATCGCATTCCTTGCACTGATTAAAACTGACCATTAGCTAAAAGTTTCTATGTATGAATATGAATGAAAGGTGGGGTATTTTATGGTCATATACTGTAGCCAAACGTTTATTGCGAAATTTAACAAAAACCTCATTTCAACTAAATCTCATAAGTCTACTCATTTGAGTTTAATGACCTGTCTAAAAGGCACACAGAAATAAATAAATGAACTGTCGTTATTGAAAACTAAATTCCAAGTTTAGATTTCAAAATTTCTAAAAACTTTGCGGAAGTAGCAATTCTAAAATAAAATTGCAGAAAACTACTCAGGAAATTCAATATTTTAAATATCTCGAAAATTTTCTCAGTTTAGTTTCTTCGCAAGAATTACCCTATGTGATTGCTAAATACTCAGTGTGAAAGCTCCCAGAGGGTCAACTTCCAAATTATAACTTAACATTCATTCATCCTGATAGCCTCCTTCAACAGAAGCAGCAGGTTAACTAAGCAAAACCTCTATCAGTATAGAACAATCGATTTCTCTCTTTTTTCACCGATCCTTCAAAATTTCCACTTTCTTAAAATTACATCTAATTGTTTTTCTACTGTTTTATCTTACACTCTCATTCGCTCACGTGAACCTAGTATTTCCCATAACTTTCTTCGTATTTCTGCATCTCTTCCTCGTATGGTTTCGTTGCGGTTTTCCCAATCTCTGTGACCATACTTTCAAGCATAATTTTCTTCCGTTCACTCTCCCTAACAATTGTATCCCACATTAGAAGTTATCACCAGGACTTGCCAATGATTTCGGTGTTACTAAGCTCAAAATAGTGACGTATACACATGTATACTTAGTATTACTAAACTTAAAATATTTAGTGATCTATATACATCTATATTTTAAAATAACTGTATGTATACTTTCTCACAGAATAATAAATAAAACTTGGGAAAATTACAAGTAAGTTGAGTAAGGAAATTCATTGATTAATCGATAAAAGATCAGATTCAACGAAACACATGCCAATTCATGCAGGAGGTAAAACTTTGCGAAGTTAATGGTATCGAGTGGGAAATGATGGGTATAGCTGCAGTTTTCATTGCGATGCCAAGCCGATACGGTCGGTGACAGCATCGTCATCATCCAGCGAGATTTCGACGACCGCCTAGTCACCGCTTACCACACTTATCTTGTAATTTGCATAACGTACTTTTGAGACCTGTGATCTGTCGCAAGCTTGTCTATTCTCGGCCAACAGATCGTCCGCCACACATGGAGATGTGTAATGACGTGGAAGATGGACCATTCGAAACTTCGTATTGGCCTCAACTGCTGGCTCGACGTTCCGTTATTCGTTCCGCACTCGTCTCCTCCTTTATGTTGTTATCATATGATTGTGAGAAGAGATGTTTCATGCGATAAACGTGGAATATATAGAATAGGATTTACATAGAATATGTTATCTCGTGACTTCTCCAAACCAGAACATTTCACATATATTTTTCGGCCTTTCCGTCATTCCCGTAGTTTTTAGGATTCATAGCAAAACAAGCCAAAAAAAAAATCCATAAAAGGACTCGAACACTCCCAAAGCGGTACGCAGACGCGATAAACATTGTCATTTGTCTTACATCTGCAGATACCACACATAACTGTACATGGCGAGAAGAAAAGAAGGAGAGAGAACATGTAGTTGGTCTTTGATCCTTGGCAAATGTACACTTCTGTAGGTGGACAAAGGACAATCAGGAGAGAGAATAACACGTTAATTTGATAGAGAGTGGGATTAAGATGAAAAATAAAAGTTAGAAAGAGTATTTAAATAAGGCAGAGAACAGTGAGAGCAAAAAAGTGAAAATATAATTGATGGAGAAATGGAAGAAATGTTCAGAGAGCTAGGGATGGTAATAATAATGATGTTTACGAATGAGTAAACCGCCTGTCACAGAGTGAGCAGTAGTACAAATGTCGATGATTCATGGTTACTTAATTCATTCATGAATTACCGATGATAGCATAAGCTTGTTTCCGATTGAGTGCGAAATACTGGTTAGAATTGTTATGCGACGACATTTTACAGCTGTAATATCACTAATACTTCCCTAGAGTCTTTTTTTTCCGATGTGAAGGAAGATGAGAGTAGTTAAATATGCCCTATGTGAAGTTTAGGTATAAGATTTGTGTGTGCATATTTTCGGTAACTTTCTGGAAATGTACTAGGAAAGACAGATGATTTACTGAGTAGCGTTTAAAAAAAAACAAAGTGGATAACAAGAACGTTGCATATAGCACTGTGTGACCATTCTGGGACTCGAATATTTTACCTTTTCCGATTGAAATAATCAATAAGAGTTTTGACTTTGAAACTCATAAATAATGTAAATATTAGCTTGGAGTATAAGTATTAGCTTCACCGTTTTACAGTTATCACTTTTCTTTACTTTAATGTTAACCGAAACTGCGCATGAAACCATGGCTTGATATTTTTTCTGATCTCCAACCACTGAATAATGCTTCGCCATCAAGAAGCTGTTTTGATCATCAAATCAGGATAAATTACCGGCGAATGATTTCATTCCGAAACTTTTCGACTGTAAATGCGAGTATAATTTGCTTAATGGGGCGCTAGCCCAAAAC